ATTATATCTCGCCAACTTGAGACGGGAAATAACAAAACGCGAATTAAACTTGTTCATATTATGATTATATACTTATTGAAATTATTTCCGAATCCGTCTTTATAACATAATAATTAAAATTTACATTTAAATTGATAATTGTTTTTTATCAAAATGAAAATTGAAAAAGTCGAAAACACTGATTTTCTAAAAATGTGATTTTAAAATAACAAATTTATTAATAATTTTGTAATTTATGCATTATTCAAATTTATTGTAATAACAAAGTTAATCATATTGTGTATATTTTAAAAAGAATGTTTCATTTTGATATTAACTTTGTTTTAAACAAATATACAGTTCTGAGGATGGCAATTATTTTCTGAGGATGAAAAAAATAGAAAGTTTACACTTTTACATCTGTATGAAATGTATATTGAGTAAGTTACTATTTTTGAACATGGGAACACGTCATTTCACTTTTTAGATGTTTAAGTCTGTGTTGATAAAGTCTGTTTGTTACACGACTTACCATCCTCAGAGATATTTATAGCACTGCCATTATTGATTTAAAATTCTATAAATAAAATTATCAAAGAATTTTTATAAAGTGAGTTTTGTTAATTGATTATATCAAAAATCGTCAAAACACAACAAAAACGCCAAATAATATATAAAATTGATTAATAAATTGAACACATTTTCATTGAGAATTGATATTGTATTATATAAAATATTAATATAAACATATATTTCGTGTGTATATATGTTTTTAAAAATAAATAAAACTGTTTAAAACAAAAATGATTTTATTTTAAAAATTTGTTTATTTATCAATCGTTGTTTTATCAATATCCAAAACCTCGCGTTTTGAATTTGCGCAAATACATAAATTGTCATCGCATAGAGTATACGTTATTAATACGTTATTTTCTATCAATTTTTATTGTTTGAAATATCATGAATTGATTTATAATAAATTGTATTTTTTGTGAAAAAGATTAAAAATTGTTAGATTAATTTGTTTTGTGATTTTGATAAAAAAAATCGACTTTTTCGATAATTTAAATGTCTGTCAAATGTTTTCATTTAAACCA